TACCTACACGTAGTGTCACTCCCAGACCACATTTCTTCAATACGAACCCCATGACCCAGAAAACACAAGTGTCCCTTTGTGATCGGAAAAAAATGTAAGTTTTTGCTTAGAAACCCTAGCGACTATTGCCTTATTGAGATTCCACCGTAATCACAAATGGTCTCTGACCAATTATTTGAAGACGAGAACGTGATCTCACCCTTTTCTGCTTTATATAAGGTCAGTCAAATCATAACTGGGAATACCTGAAAATAGAGCTATGGTGAGGAGGGAATAGGGGAGAGGTGGGGGAGGTACTCTTCAAAATCTTTCTAGTATCAGCGAATTAGCATTTTTCTGGGCCTTATAAAACAAAGGATACGACAATACGTGAACGACAGTTTGAGGTGTATTTTTTATAAGGACTGCGGGGGTCCTCATACCAAACATACTGCCCGCCTTCTATCTAATTTATTGCTCCTGCTCAATACAAGAGCTACTCCCGACTTTGACAAAGATGTTCAAATCTCTAGTTCGTCACCTCTTCCTTGGACCACTGCGGGCGCGAATGTGAAAGAATCTCAGAAGTGCTTTCGAGATTACATAAGCGCTTATCAGCAGTATTTCTTTCTCCGATGAATATGAAAGCAGACCGGGAAAGGTTCTTCCGCATGCAAATTCTGAAGCCAGCATGCATTTTCGATATAAAATTTTAAAAAGTTCGATTACAGCAATTTCGAGGGTGCACCTCTAGTCATGATAAGTACTGTAGAGGTAACCTTGCGAACAGTAGCATTAGTCTGCTCCGACGATCACGACTTTCCTTGAGTGAGTGATATTGCAGAACTCTACAAGGCTCAAGCAATGAAAGCCAAACAGGAAACCACCGAGACGATGAAAGAGAATCATTTTTGTAAAGTTCTGTACTAAATCACTTTTGACTAAGCTGTGAACTATGACCAGAATGCAGTCTCGAACGCATGAGGATAATTATGACGGATACTGCCAATGTCATCGACATGGCGTAAGGCTCTAGTGGACTTACTGGCAGATGCCGTACGACACAAGAGCTTCCAGTTTTATACCGCGGTAACGGTCTGATGACCTATCTAGAGCGCAGAGGGGATTTCTTTCATGCGTTCTACAACTATCGAGCAAAGAGGTAATTCTGAAGAAGAGGAGAAAGATATTGTTATATCGCATTATTGCAAATTTCAGTCTGAAAGCGGAAATAATCATGAGTACCTTCTTCAAATGTAAGCAGACTTAATAAAGGTTGTCTAATTTTTACCTGCATATTGTCATAGTTAACTTTGACAAAGTTGTCACGATCGACGCGCGAGTGGGTGTGTATAAATCCAAGACTATGACCAATTTCGTGCGCAGCAATAAATCCCAGAGGGCATCCGTTTCCCAACGATAACTCCTGTTCGCCGCCTATTTTGCCCACAGACGACCAACATCCTGATGACTCAGTGACTTTCACTCGGTCTTTAGCTGAAATAAGGCTTTTGTTAACGACTCCAAATGTTAAGTACTGCTAAATTACGGCAATTAGTGAAATTTTCCATATCTATTCAAGATTTGACATTTCGATGTCTACGATGTCACAGGTATAGTTGGTTGTGAATAAATGTGTTCATCTTTTTCACACATCCTGCTCCATTGCTAAGCAGCGTTCAATCGATTATATTGATCATTTTTTTCAACGCCGGATATGGTAATCCTGTTAGGTAAACATTCATGTAAATCTTACCCGAAGGATTTTCTGTGAAATTGATACAGGTTTGACTTTCCCATTGTTTCGCTGCGTCTCTGAACGCATTCTTAGTTTGATCAGCTAAAATAATCTGCATAGCGTACTTCTACTGGAGTTTCAGGTATTACCACGGTAACAATGCTTACAGATGGAATCGTCAAAGACGTAGTTTAGCCCCTCTATCCAGAGCATTTGTGGCCAAGCCTTCCAATTCATGGCCTGACGTTTCAGGCGGTGTTCGTTATTGCCGCCTGCATCTTTTGTGCCGCTGGCCACCTGTTCTGCATGCTCACTTAAATTATGGGATTAGGGAAAACAACAACTTGAATTCTGAATTTCTCACGTACCGGGATAACACAATGTCGCCTTTGGTGTAGTAGATGATGGACATTATTTTTTTCATTGACTTCAATAACGGAAAGCCCGGAAGAAGTCACACCATTGACGAGAGCGGGCAACAGTATGGCGAGTAAGGTAAGCCCCATGCTGTAATATTTTTGATGGAATGCAGCTGGAAGAAGCGTGAATGACGTGTTTTCATTTTTGAAAAATTATTCGAGCAGCAGCTGTTACTAGGGCAAACTTTACAGTTTGTGGGAACTTATGAAAGGCATACATTATATTCGAGGAATGGTTCGCGATTGGCGAGCGGGGTGCGTAAGAATGGAGTAGCGGGCATCAGCTCTTGTTGAAACACAGACTGCATCATAGATATGTTTAGCAAGCAATAGCATATTGATAATGGGTAATATTGTTGTACAGAGATCGCTACTAAATCTTAAATTTAAGCCAATGTCTACTTTGCATCGCATCTACAGGTTCATTAGATACTGTTATTGCCCTTGAGATGAGTAAGAGCCCAAGGAAACTCCGACCACGCTTCGTCGGTGGCACTGACAATGGCTAATTTTTCACACACGAAATCTAGATGCGGGATACACATGCACTTTTAAGGCATCGCACGAGTCAGCAAGATGTAGGCTGAAATCCGGGCGGAGAGGCTTACGTGTAGGTAGCACTGCTCATCATTATGAAAAGAAACACAGGCATTACACTATGAAATAGTGACCAACTATCTAATACTATGAAAAAAATATGAAGATGACAATGCTTTCAAAAGGGATTTTCAGGCAGGTCAGAGCGGAGATTTCATGAAATATACACAGGAGCAGAACGATAACTTTGGACTGGCGTACGACTACGGATCCATCATGCACTACGCCGCAGCGGAGTAAGCTTTCTTGTATAATATTCGTACGAATCGAGTTTAGAGCTTTGGCAAAAGCGCTAAAAAGTATTCGACCAAATGCCTTTTTGGCCGCAACTTTTTTGCCATTTCCAATTTCTTCATCGTTACCTGTTTTATGGCTTTTTTTGTGCAGTGAAAAAGACTCGTTCCTTTAATGGGCTGTGATAGATGGGATGTAGAGCGGATTCTTCGCTACAGCTTTCGGAACTTTGCTCTAAATTTACCCACCAAGGTCGAGCCTTTCAAAGTTCGCAATGCTGAAACTGCACTGATGGAAGTTTTTGGAGACAGTGGCAGATCTCGGAATGCCACCTCATTTGATAGACATTTTAGCTATTGGCTACCACTTTTTCGAACATCAGGATAGTTTAAGTAAAGAGAAATATTATATTTCAAAAGCTGTGGTGAAGCTGAACGAATTTCGTTTAAATCATCACATCCAGAACTCCAGTACTTAGAACAACACAAAAAACACTTTTTATTGTAAGAGATGAGTAGACCCATAATTTCATTCCAATTTAAAATATTGAGTATGAGCCGAGATACGTGTATTTGAATTTCAGTGCCAAAAATGACCGAACCAAATAAGAGACATAATAGAATAATGGCTAATCTGTTCGTTACATCTCAAGAGTTTGAAGATGGGTTAATTATTTGATGTCTAATGAAAGGCAACTTACCTACGCCTTGTTGCGCTGCACACGCCACAGGCAGTCATGGACAGATAGTTCCCAAAATTTGAAAACTGCTCGCAATTCCTTATACATTGCGATGCAAAATCATAGGACATCCCCCCCCTCAAAAAATATGAATATCTCGGTTTCCGGAAATCGTCATTCATAGCAACCTGTAAAATCAGAACCGCCTTTATGAAAAACCTATACCCACAAGTTACCAGGTTATCCGATTAGTTTTCCGTATTTTTAGACAATTTTTTTTTGATTTTGGAGCCGTTGCAAAATCATAGGACACCCCTCAGAATTCTCCTTACTGTTGGATTTTTTTATCCAACCAGCAACGATAGTAGCACTTATCTGGTGTATGGCAACTCTACTAGAGTTACGGTTTGAGTTGCTCTCCTCTCCTCCGCGAGTGAAAGCCAGACGTTGCTTTTACACGCGCCTGATGGCTCTACCACGACCATCGAAGCCATTTTGGAAGTTCAAGGAAAACCGTAGCTTGGTACTCCAAACTCTCACTACGAATAGAAATAAGAGAGCACCAGGATAAACAACAGAACCTTTCCAAAAGGATTGGCGCATAACCTCGAAGACTACATCGAACAAAATCACCATGCACGCTCAGCCTGTGTCAGCTCTACGACAGAAGCGGATAAAACCGAAACCACCTAGCAAAATCATTGATATGGACAACTAGCGTAGGGTCCTGCGAAGCGTGCTGCCATGCTCGTTAGGCGTTCTGACTGAAACCAGAGAAGAGAAATCCAACTAAAGACTGAGCCAAGGCGGGGCTTTGTTGAGCAAATTTTCATTCAAGGTTATGAGTGTTTTGTTTTTCCTTGGTATAGTAGAGAAATATAGGCTAGGTTTCGACGACATTTCGCCAACGAAGTTTTCGTGGTAGTTTCCTAAAGACGAGTGAATGCGTAACCTCAACCTGAGGTTACGCATTCACTCATTTCTAGGAAACGGCAAGTGTTGATTCCCTGCGAGTGCAACAACATATACTGTATTGCGATGACCTGATCAACCAATTGATCTTTACTGGTCACACTGTGTGAAGGTTTTAGTTGATTTTTTCTTCAAACTTACCCTCAGGGTAGTAGTCTGGGTGCGCCAAAATCAGTATGATACATGGAAACCCAGGCAGCAGTGAGCATGAAGTGTGAGACACTGAAAAATGTAGGGTGAGGAAACAAAAAAACTGCGAAGGAGATCTGATATAATCCAATGCTCTACAACTGCTTACTCTATCAATTAGCTGGAGCGTAGGGTTCGTAGCAGTCACTATGTATAACTAAACTAAGTAACGAATAGCGAAAAGCGAGTAGCAGAAAGAAAGGCCTGACAAATATCAAGCATCCTTCATACAAGGCGATTAGTATCCGTATTGAGAAATTGTAAGGCAAATCAGGACACGAAGAAGAAATAAATCATTCCAGCTAAGGCACTTCAGAATTTACGTTAACTGAAATGTGATGAACTGCGGAATATTTACAGCGAAATTACTTTAATTCCTTGAACTTCCCATTAAACGCAAATGGGCTGGCTTAGTGAACTAGGTCTGCCTTCAGAACATATTAATATCTGAACTTATCTGATCCAACAGGAAAAGGTTACTGCCGAAATATGGTGTCGGATGAGTATTATCTTTAGCAATAGGAATGACAACTTAGGAGCTTTTAATTATATCTTACATCTTATAGTTATTCGACCGATGGATCGCCGGTACTGGTGCCGCATGACTATTATTATATAATGACTATGGGATCCCCGTTCATTTCGTTCAACGACTACTACCAGATGAACATTCTCTACGGTTGCAATGGTTTGTCGTACTACTCTAGTGAGAAGCATTCCAAAAACTGCCAACCTACAGTCAGATGATTCCGCTCGTTTTCCTTTTCTCACAATCATTTGGATTCTGTTGTCGTACTTTTCCTTTGCCAATCAGAAACCTGCACATTGCGATCACATACACTCACTCGTTCGCATGTAATTTGGGACGCTTTCTGTGCTAGTTCGTACATTGCGGATGTACCTTGACAGTGCGAGCACGAGTCGTTTTTATCCCACGATGATTTATAAAAGCCTACGATATATTTCGCACCACACACTTCCAAACCGACTTTTAACTGTATATTGCAGAACGGTGCAATTCACAAACATCGGCCAGGTGCGAGAATGGCGGATTTCCTCATCCCCGAAACTGCTCGAAATGCGTATGTCCTAGTGGTTACGGAGGAGATTTATGCAACGAAAGAGTGAGCAGTTAATTGAGTTCAAAGGAATCGTGTTCGAAAACCGCTTGACTCTCCCTATGAGTCGATGACTCAAGATCTATCTTCTACGGTGAAAACGTAGTTAACAAAAGGCTTTCATTTTAAACCAGTTTTGCTCCGCCCGCTATCGCGCACATCACACGGCAAGCTTTAGCAAAACTGGAGGACACATGGAATATCAGCATAAGTGAGGAGCTAAGGCTTATCATTTATTTACATTCACCATTATTTAGAACCCCGAAAGGATTAGCGGAGTTTTGGCTTCTTGATATTGCATTAGAAATGAAAGTTATCATTTGCTGAAGACTTGATTGAGTTTATGCAATCGACTGCTATTAAGTAAGCTGGTCATATCGATACAATGTGCACGTACCACTACAAATAGAATTTGTAAGTAGGGACGCTCTAGTGTCAACGCAAGCTAACGGAATCGACGACTTTTGCGTTCTGACGCGCCTTATCAGCCCTTATCAGTTGTAACCACTTTCTATCACCCACCAACAATGTCCCCGTCCCACCCCACATAACACTTGTAAGTATGGTTGCTCTGGTGTCAACGCGAGCCAGGTAACGGAATCGACGACTTTTGCGTTCTGACGCATCTTATCAGCCCTTATCAGTTGCTATCGCTTTCAATCATGTACCACCAATGTCCCGGGACCACCCCACATAACACTTGTAAGTATAGACGCTCTAGTACCAATATGAACGACAAAACGAAATTGGCGATGCTCGCTTTCTAGCCCCTCTTATCAGCTATTATCAGTCGTTATCAGTTCCCCATCCAATATAACATAACATATGTAAGAACCACTGCGCTATCGTTACTGTGACTCGAGCTATGAATTTCGTGACAAACAGACGTACACACACATACACACGCACAGACATACTTAGCGAATTATATATAGTAGGATCGCGAGAAGTTCATATAATTGAAGAAAATCATATCGTTGCTTAGAATTCCTACCGTAGAACTGTCATGAGGGTTGGTTTCTCAAATGCGGCCAAAAAAATCCTTCTGGTCTTATCATCTGTAGGTACAACACCTCACTTGTCCACTGCATCTGTCGCTTTTTGCCAGTACTTCCCGTGGTTGGATGGTTAAACTCAACTTCATCCTACCTATGTGCAGAGGGGGGCAGCATTAATTAATTGTATTCGTGTGAGGGAGGAAGCGATCATTGTCCGT